GATAAAATTTGCATTTTATGGAGGATACAATTTTTTGGGGATTTCAAAATAATGTACTAAAACATTAAAAATAACAAGTTCAGATCTGTAGCAAATATAAATATTGTAATTATTTCTTATAAATACGATTTCCTAATGTAATTTTCCAAGATATTAAAGATCATAATGCAAAAAAACTAAATTTATTAAAAGTAATAGGCTTTATGTTTATTAAACTACCTATATTTGTCAAAGTACTTATGAATTTTCGAAAATATTCGTCCACTAGTTTTATTGTTGGAATGAAATATAGCAAGACTTGCATTGCCTACTAAGAAAGTTAGTTGCCGGTAGTCATCGGGTTAAATGAGAAAATCAATAGGCAGAGCCAAAGGAAGAGAGAAAGCCCAGAGTTGAGAAGGGTGGCAAAGTGTCCAAGAGGGACATATTCAACCAAGTGTAAACCCTTCTGAAGATTAGGGGTGCAGAGGCTCTTCCACTGAAAGAATAAGGACTTGTTAAGAAAGGCAGTTTGCCAACAAGAAGACATCTCCCAGCAAAGGATGTAAACAGGCACAGAAGTATATAGTTAGTACCCAAAAATAAAAAGGCCCTGTAACAGAAATCACAAGGGTGGTTGAGCAAGGAAAGGACATGGAGAAGATTGAGTAGATGATGAACAAGAGAACCACTAGTAGAAGCAGGAATGGGAATATGTCCAATAAATTGAAATAAGGTCAAGTATGTTGATGGGGTGTGGACACTAGTCTAACATTCAAATATTGGAAGATTTGCCCCCACAAAAAATGTACCTCATTCCAAGAGAGAAGCATCAAAGAAGAGGGAGATCTGGTTGGAAAGGTGGTAAGGGAACATAGAAAGCAGGACAGCAAGGTCCAGTCACTCTGACAATTCTGAGAGGAGAAAGGACCTCCAAAAAGAAAATCAAGGGTCCATGAGATCCATTGTAGGAGATATACAAGGGCATGCACCAAAGGAAGGATGGCTTTCAGAGAAGCCACAGACTTCAAAAGGGAAGAACCTCTTAAGCAGGGAGAGAACAAGAAGTGTAAAACCTGGTGATCAGATAAGCTGTATTTTGTAAGTTGGGGTGAGAGAAGAAAGTGCCCAAAAATAACCATCACCGAGAGTGTGAGAAAAGGCCCAGATCTGAAGCATTTGATTGGTTATACACACATCATTGGGCAAAGTAGGTGTACATAAGCAAGTATTTTCAAAAATGAAAGAGGTGGATGGGGCAACTTTGGTTGATTCACTACACACACACACACACACACACACATACATACATATAATAAGAATACCTCAGAAAATGGATAGGAGGTTGTTATTTTATATTCTAGCTTGTCAATATCGATAATTTGAGTTTCTATTCCACAAGAAACTATAGACTTTGTATTTAGACATCACCAACATCTAATTTGAACCAAAGATGCATTCAACATACCACGTGACACATAAAAATCAATATGTAGGAATTGTTTTAATATTTACTTTTAAATTAAGAAATTAACTATTGTATAATATTAAGATTTGAATTATAATATACATCTTGATACCAAACTTATTGACATACATTAATTAAACAGTAGTTCAATAAAATTTTGAATGAAAGTCTACAAACGTGATGACATGCCCTCTGACCCCTACCCATAGCAAAAGGGTTAACTAAAACTATAGTATTGGTTTTGCTTACTTATTAAGTAAAGTGGTAAAGAAAGGATAAAACAAAAAACAAATGATTATACATACATCGCAAAACAGTTGAGTTTTAACTGTGTACATTTTGAATAATTCTAGAGGTTTGAGGTTTGCTAGTCGTTAAGAGTAAGGCAGTCTTTAGTTAAGTAAGCTTTCTTTAATGTAAAGTTCAAAGTCTGAAGAACCTGTAGTAATGACAGAGAAATCATTAGATGAAATATTGTGACTCGTGGTTTCAATATGTGAATGAATGGTTGGGTTTAAGTAGTGGATGGTCAGTTCTGTTAAATACTCCTAAATGTTCACAAATTCTAGTTTTCAATTGGCATTCTGTTTTGCCAATGTACGTGACCTTACAGTCACTACACACATACTTATACACAAACCATGTATGTAAAAGTTAAGGTAAATGTCTTTTGTACTGAAATACATTTTTAATGCAGAAGCTAGGTTTGTGTATTAGTCTGAGCTGAATTTGAAGATAGAGGTTTCTTATTAAAGAAGAGTTGTTTTTAATTTGTAATGATTGTGAATCCATTAAAGAAATGAAGATAATGAGGGGAAATTTGGGAATTTCCAACTACCAGCCAATGTGCACACCATTCCAAAATTATAATATTGTTATTATTTATGCCAAGCATTTTTTTATAGTCTTCAATCTTATCTGGTTACTGAGCCATAAAATAGAAAATTAGAACCCTCTTGCCATGCCCCCTGTCACATCCCCTCTTTCATAAATTCCCAATAGTTCTCTCTAATGTTTAATACTAAATTACTTATAACCAATAGAAAGCCAAAGTTTTAATCTATCAAATGACATATCATATTACATTGTTTTCTGTACAGAGTTGTCTATTTCACTTCCAGTTCAAACTTTATTCTGATAGGTAGCACAATGATGAGCTTAGCTGAATTTTTAACTGCTCTTATTGCATAGTTAGAAAGCCAGAAAAATTATGATAGTTACAGGGCATTGTCAGCTTTTCACATGTTATTATTCTGTGTCTTTAGGTGCATTATTTAATTAAATAAAAATGTATTGTAGTAGTACCATTTGTATTTCATCAACAGTCAACAGCAAAAAAGAAAACCCTAGCAAGTAATATATTTCTTGTTTTTCATGTGTATTCTTTATTGATTACTACTAAAGTAACTAAAATTTAAAAACTAGAAAATTTTTAGGTTACATAAGATTAGATTATGTAAAATAAAGAAAACAAATAATTTTTCATAAAGTAAACTCATGAGCAACTCGCAAACAGATTGTGCATTACGTAATTTGTAATACACAATGGGGAAACTGGATATCACTTTGCTAAACATTTTTTAGCAATATAATAATTAATTTCAGTGATGAGCTAAGTCCACATTCCAGGGGAAGAAAATTACATGAAAAAAAGGAATAATTATTTCTAGCTTTAGATATACACATAAAACAAGGAATCAAGATTTTGAAGAACACCATAACCACATTACACCTACTCATATATACACTCTCATTTTTCATAAATAAATATAAATCATAATTTGTTCATTATTTTGTTATGTAATACAGATTTTTTTTTATAGGTATGAAACAAGACTGATCCTACCTTTCTTTCAACTTCCATGTCTTTTTCTGTTATTTTCCCATGAGAAACTATGGACTCAACTGTACCTTGTATTTTTGCATCATGTATTCTGTATGCAGTCTTTGAAGTACTACCCTTTATTTTTTTCAAGTTATTAAGTTTTTTATTTAGTTTGAAGTTCTTGATGCCTAAAAATAAAATGTAGGTTCCATATAATTACTTCTTTAAGGTCTTACAAAAACACGGTTGACAATCAATACAACTTTTTTGTAACCCACTCAATGTACTTGAAAAAGAAAATCTGATGACAAGGAATTCACTCTGAGATAATAATGTGAATGGACAATGAAGAAAAGTTATTTTCTTAAATTGTATATGTATTTCCAATAATACTTACCTCCTCTCACACTACAGCTATTATTCAACTGTTAGGGTTTATTTTCCTTCGTCCATCTAAGCATTGGTCTGATTTCTCATTGCTTGCTCCAGTCTTCTAGTACCCACTTAATTGCCCTTGATGATATCTGTCTCTTGACATTCTCCACCTACATCAGTGTGCCCTCTATCTTTGTGCAGTATATAAGCACCTCCTTCAGATAATTTGCCACTTTTTCAAGACTGACTGACACAATCCACAATCACTAGCACTGGTTCTTATAGGGGAGAAAAGGCAGGAGCGTGTGAACAGAAGTAAGTTTTATTGGAAATACATTTTCTATTTAACAAAATGTTAACTTCCAAAACATACTTATCTCCTCTCACATTACAACTGGAATCCCACATTATACATACAAAATGCATCTGCATAGATCATAGTTGTGCCAATAGAAGATCAGCACCCTAATGGGAGAACCACACTACATCCAGAACAGGTATGCTCTTCACCCAGAACCTGAATCGTGCACTACAACCATCACCATTGGACAGGCCCTAACCAGGTAGCTGAGGTCCCACTGTTCGGGGTTGGAATTATAGGGCCATGGTCCCTAAATCCTACATTGGTGGCTAGGGCATTTGACCACAACAGATATATTTGTGAGTGGATCCCAACCTGTAGTTGTAGAGTGATGCATTCTGAGCCACTGGAAACACGATGAGAAGATAAGCAACAAAGTGTACAAACCCTCTCCTCAACCTGAAGTCCAAAAGGTAATACCCCAAACTCAGAATGAGAGGATCCTGTATGCCATACTCTATCTGAGGAAACAGAACTCATCTGGCCTGGAATTATGAAAACTCATCCTCACTCCCCAACAATGTTGGCAAGGTAAATTCCCCCTTGCCATTGGAATTATGGAGAGGATGTGGAACAAACAGTTCTCAACTAAGGACCCAAAATGGGACCACTCTATGTTCAGAATTACGAGGAGACAATGGGCCCTCTATCATGAACAATGTATTGAACAAATATTGATCAAAAAAAGGGTCCACGATTAACCCAACCGGATGGTTGAGCATCGAATTTCAGCCAGTACTACACGTACATTTCCATGTAAGCTAGTGCCGCTCATACCGACACCTGGGAGAGGAAAAAAAACATCCATGATCCGGGTTAGAGGGGTCCCCAACTTGGAGGAAAGTCACTTGAACACTCTGGAGAATAACCTCTGTCCACCACCCCAGTAACTGGAAATTAGTAGTAAGCTCCCTAGCTCAACTAGTACAATATGGGGGGGGGGGCTGAGTTCCCTAAATCTATAAAAGCAAACCAGCCCATGATTGGCAGGGATGGTCAGAATCCCCTTATGCTTTACTCATGATAGTCATAATTTCTACAAAGCTTGTTGCAACCTAGATAAAGCATACTGTGATAGTGGTTACTGGTGCAGATTTGGTTTGACAAAAAAACACATTACTTGACAACACTCATCACAGAGTGTGATTCTGTAAAAAAAAAGTAAAGGATGTTGGAAAGGAAAGAAGATACAAATTAGTAATGAAAATACCCACACCTCTTTATAATCCAGTGGATAGCTACATGGGTAGTTGAAACCCTCATAAGAAGATACTATCAAATCATGCAAATAATGTGAAATAAAAGTATTGGAGGAGGTCCACATACCAGCCTGACAATGTTCTCCAGCGAGCAACTGAACTGGGCCATGTAGGATATAGAAATGTTACGTTACGTTACAAACCCTCCTCGCCTTTAAAAACAGACCAGAATAAATAATATGAATTAATTTTTGTACTCACCCTGTCAAGGTAGGTAACTGGGGATAAAACCCAGGAAACTGAAGGGTCATAATAAATAAAAAGCTATTGTCTAGTACATATAAAAGCTTTAGTGGGGCACTTACTGGACATAATGAATGATCAGGATCTGATTGGTCATAGAGGTGAGAAATAGTAGTCAGATGAATCAGTCAAAAGAAATTATCCCCTCCCTGATTGCCAGTGTCTTAGGTAAGAAGGATCTGTCTGGGTATAGAAGGACATAGGTAGAATGATAAAGTATCCTGCACACATGCAGCACAAACAATTCAGACCAGTGATGTCTGCATGCCAGCAGCAACAAAAAATAAACATTAAGGAAAAGGTGATACATGGCACATGAGGCTAAGGGCTCAAATGGATGTGGAAAAAGAGCATGTAACACCACCTTTATATCTCAGTTAGGTAACAAATGGTCGTGATGGATGAAGGACCTGAAACAACTTAAGGAGGACGGAGTGCACTGGGTATTCAAAGAATTTCAGTCTCTTTGAGTATCTAAGGGTAGCTCATAAGGCAGCCTTATATAGGGCAATTGTGGAAGATGCAAAACCCTTGTCAAAGAACAAGGTCAAAAACCGAGCTCTGGTTGGTATGTCTGGACGAAGTAGGTTCAACCTCCTCACAATACATCATTGTCAATACGTGTGCCATTTCCATTGTCCATCCTGGGATGACACAGACTGAGACAGGTGCATGGCAACCTTACAAGTTAAAACCCAACACTGTACGAAGGACTGCATAACCTCCATGCATGAAGCTTGAGAGTCAGGATGAATGGGTGTAAAATGTCGGATCATGGTTGCTTCAACAGAGACGGTGAAAGATGAAATGGAGAAAATGGGCACTCCTGAAGGTATTGCAGAAATGTAAACCAGGGTTGAGCTGCCCAATCCATTGCTATTAACAGAACACAACTGGGGGTTGAATGAAACACTGCTAAGGCTCTAGATAAAACAAACAAATAGGTGGGTAAGCATATAGGTGAAATCCAGTCCAGTCGTAACTGAATGCATCTATTGCCAGTGCTCAAGGGTGAGGTACTAGAGACCAGAATGTTGGTAGTTGAGTTTTCCAATGAGTGGCAAATGCATCAATCATCGGTGTCCCAAACCGTAACCAAATACAATGAAGAACCTCTCAACTAGCATCTATTCTGTTGGGAGAATCCAATTGGGTTGAGACGATTGATCTGCCATAAAATTCATCACCCCCAAAACATGGCACACTAGTAGGATGCTATGATGGGAGTGAGCTCAATACAGAATACCCAAGGTTCAAAAACAGAGAGTCATGGACCAAATGCCCCCATAAAACTGTCAGAGTGAAGCATGACGACCTTATTCCTCAATAATTCCAGATTTTGAGAGAATGACCCTTGAACAGCAAGAAGTTCTATAACACTGATGTGGAGAGAAGCCTTGTCATCCATCTATAGGCCCTAGAATTCCTGACTGTTGAGATATGCACCTCGATCCCTGAAGTGAGACATCCATGAATGGTTTGAGCTGTGGCGGAGGTGGCAGCAGTGGAACACCGATCATAGTATTGTTCTGACCTAACCACCACTCGAGATCAAAGATCCTGAATAAGTTAATTGGGGAATCCAGTCGATCTATGTTCCTGATCCATTGGTTACATAGATACAACTGAAGGGATTGCAAGAGCACTCGCCCCAAAGGAAAGAGGAATTCAAGTGATGTCCACATCTCAAAGAGAGACCTTAGGAAGAATTGGATTGTCTGTCCCATAGCATAGAGCCAGATGGGAGTTGGCTGAGCCCAGTTGAAATACGTGTCAAAAAAGACACCCAGATGGAAGATATATTGAGATGTCTTGGCTCTGATAAGAAATCCTGCCTTGGTTGCTTTGGAAAGCAGTATCTGGGTGTAATGTTCCACCAACTGATAAGATGGTGCCAGCAGTAGCCAGACATCCATGAAATAGTGTGTGCACAGGCCCAGGGAATGGAGATGATCAGAAAAGATTTGTATGATTCAGCAGAACACATATGGAGCCAATGCTTGTCCAAAGGCCAGTGCCCTAAATTCCAGCACCAGATCCTTGTGCACAAAATGCAAATAGTGATGGGATGAGTCCGCTATGGGAACATGCAGATAGGCATTGGTGACATCAAACTTGGTCATCCATAATCCTGGCAAAAAATACCAATGTAGAGTGAGGAATGACTCGATCATGAACTTTGAAGGATCTAGGAATTGATTTAAATGAGAAAGATTGATGAAGTTCTGAAGTCCAAGGATCTGTGGGAGGCACAAACACTACAGGTTGGGGGGATAATGGTGGTGGATATGTGAACTGAATGACTAATCCTGCCACAAGGACATGTAGTACCCATGAATCCGGGGTAAAGGTTTTGCACACATCCTGAAATTCTCGGAACTAAGCCCCATAAACCCCAAAGGCACACGGTAGTCACCACTGCTGCTTGCGGCATTCCAACCGAGCAGAGGAGCTTTGTGGATATGGGTGGAATTTATTCTTGGTACCAATGGACTGAAGGGCTGATGACAGGGGTCGGGACACTCAAATAAGGGCAGAACTACAACCCCCCTATAGAAGCAGAGGAATGTTGAAAAGCCAAAGACAACAACCCTCAAATGCAAGACACTGGAACAACTGAAATACTAAGGGCTGGAGAAAAGGGCATCATGTAACTCATGGAGGGCAGCAGCAGGTAGATGAACATCATCTAACAACATACCAGCCAAGAGACAAGGGAATGTGCAGAAATTTACAATTGAACCAAGGTAATGATGTGGCAATCACTGAGAGGCTTCCAAAAAGGGATGATAAATATCTTAGCCCACTAGTTGGGGTCAGATGATTCCTAGAAAATAGTGTTCTATTCAGGTTGATCACAGACTCCATTCTGGAACCCACATATCCAGGAGCAGGTCTATTCTCTGAGAGTCTAAATATGCTTCCACCTGGTAGTGGTACGTGAAAGCATGTTGTTGTGACAAACATAGTGGAAAAGGCATAGCTGTCTCTTCACGAACCTGAGCAGTAAACCTCCCTCCATGAATCGTATTATCAGGGGATGGAGGGAGAACCAAGTACTTGTCCTCAGACCTTTCTGCCATCAAGGAAGGTGCAACTCAAATGCAACTTGGAAAAAGACCCAAAACATCATGCACTCTATGTACCAATCGAAGAAAAGGAGCCTGAGATGACTGAACCAAATTGGCCTCATGAGAAGCCAATAGAGTAAAGGAAGGCAGTGGAAAATTTGAATCTAAATTCTCTACAAAATGTCCAGGATCACCCACAAGTGGAGCCTCAGACATACCCCCCCCCTAAGAAACACCATTAGATCGTACGTATGTTTCCATCTCACTATGGATAAATTTATAGGCACCCTCAATCGAAAAGCAATGCTTGCTATCAAAAGTAGGATAGGACCCAATTTTCATCCATGCCAGAAACCTTAATCTGGGAATGCATGCTGTAAATCAGCCTCCCAAATGCAAAGGTTTTTTTTTTCTTTTTTACAAAAATCAAAAATTAAAAATGAAGAACAGTAGTATTACAGAGAAACCTGTTAGTAAACATTTTGTTGAGAAAAAATAAGAGCGGGATAAAAGACTGAAGCAGATCAGTGCTTAGATGGGTAAAGGAAAAGAAGCCACAGCAATCAAGTAATAGCTGTAGTGTGAGAGGCAGTAAGTATGTTTTGGAACTTTATTACAAGTTTAATGTAGTAAACAAATATATACCATTTTCGCAATGTTTGTCAAAATGTTGCACTTTTGTTATTATATTAAACTTGTAATAAAGTTTTATTCATTACCCATTCATCTTTAAACTTTATCTACTTGAAAAAGTCTTAGCCAATACTTTCAAATAGTGTATATATATGAAATTTCAGATAATTTTTCACCAACTCTGGTTTTCAAGACAAAGGAATGTTAGTAAATTATTGTTAAAACTTTATTAGATTTCAAAATATTCATTACTTTGACCCTAACCAGGCTTTCCATGAAAGTGGTAAAAAATAGTTGATTTTAACAAATCAAAGATAATTTTATTATCTTTAAATTCTAGCAAGCTACGTGTAATTTCCAAATACTTCTTTTTAATAAGTTAAGCATTTTAAGCTCCCAATAAATAAGAGATAACAGTGTAGTGATGTTTAATTACATTAACTTGACTACATTGTAAGCATCATGATAATCTTTTAAAGCTTGGAAGAGGCTATATAATATGCTTCATCGTGTAACAGTCCAGACAAACTTATGCAAAGATTACAATATTCTAATGGATTGGAATACATTCAAAAAACATTTCAGTCTATAAAGGACCACACCTTTGAAGTGTTTAATTTATAATGCATTGTAGTATTTGATATATGAATTTCAGTTTTGCATTTAGAATATGGACAGTGTAATTAAGTTTAAAACAATTATGAAAAAACAAGAAAGTAATGCTAATGCATTTTATAAATAATTTTCTCTTCATAAACCTACCTTGTATTTTCATTTTATTATCCCCAGAAATATGTCCATTATTGAGCTTTCCCAAAGTGAAACGAGATTTGTATCTAGCTTTCTGAATGTCAGTCATAAGAGCCCATTCTTGCTTCAGTAAATCCTCGAGTGCTGAACTAGTCAGGTCTGGATGTTGCAGTTGTTTCTCGTGCAAATGTTTTTTACAAAACACAAAAAAATTTCCCCTTTCATGAGCTTTTGAAGAAGTCTGTTTTATATGCTTTTGTTTTTTTTCTGCTTTTCTATCTTCAGCTGCTGTTCGTCCTTGAATTTTAGAAGAACAAACTTTTTTATTTTTTTTTGCAGGTCCTTCTTTGGGTGTTTTTTGTTTGAGCTTTTCTTTGGGAGAACACTTATTGCTATGTGTTTTTGCTTTTCCATTTTTGGTTACATGACTGTTTTCTAGTTTGCATTCATCTAAACCAAATAAAAAAATAATTAAAATGTAAAACACTTGTTGATGTCTCAATAATTTTTGGTATGGAAGAGAATCAAACACACACACACACAAGCATTCTGTTTGAATAATGACTAGTCAAATAAACTAGTCAAAGTTCCATTTTCAAATATTTTAGAACCTCCCAACGTTTTTGTAAACTTGCAAAAATCCCAAAACTAGTAGGTAATTTAAACATTTAACTTTATTGCAAATATATTTTGTTGGTAGAATACAAATTATATTAATTTTCTTTCAAAGTTTATTGGGCTCTTTATAATAGGTAATTTAAGTTTTATTTTATATTCATTCTTAATACCAATTGAACAAATATTGTTGAATATTTTAAGAATATTAAAAAAAAAAGAAGTGTGAGGGAACTGTGATATTTTGTAAGGAATGGCTGAGAACAAACCAAAAGCTTTTAACTATTAGACATAATTATTAATTTGTAATATAATCATGGGTCAAGGCCAACATTATTAACAACCAGACTGCTGGTCAGTGTTTCAAGTTTACAAGTAAAACTTAAAAAGCACTACAAAAGAAATTGCTAGTACACATTTCAGATGCAAGATTCAAAGATCCTTATTGGTGAGAATCAATACACCTCTGATAAATGCATTTCAGTCATTTATATTGTAAAATTCTGAGTACAAAAGGTTATTATAATTGCAATTGACAAGATTATTTTACTCGCTGGTGTCATACCAGTTTTGTGACCCTCATTTAGACTGCATGGCATTTACAGGCTAAGTAAGAGAAATGGGGACAGCAAGATAACAATCTTCAACTTATTGAAATGATTGCCAAGGCAATTAGCATGTGCACCAGCTGGTTAGTTTCACATCATATAGCCTCTGTAATGCATATGTAGGCCTATAGATTTCTAATGCTTCATTAGCTTATGGTGTTTAAACCAGTTTTAATAAAATATCTTCTTTTTTTTTAGTATAAGATGGCTAACAGCAGTCAATCCGGATGCTCTTAGCCTAAATACATCAGTTTCCGTCTAAATCAAACATCTTTTAACTTTTGTGAAATAATTAACATAACAACACATGTAATTAAAAATTTTAATATTTGAAAATAAGACATAGATGACTTGTACATATAAATGACATATACATACATATTTATTAACATTTCATACATAAAATATTTAACCATGAAACAGTTAATTTTAGAGAGAAGAATATTGCTGCTAGTAGAAGTCCCAATTTTGCTGAGGGGGAAATTAACAGCCATATCCTAGTACCATCAAAAGTTAAAAATCAAAACCTAATAATGAAAAACATCCATCACACTAAAAAGAGCTTGGAAGACTGACTTATAAAAAAAAAAATACTAAACAGGATATCATTAATTATAACTGTAAACAGGATATTAATAATTATAACTGTGAACAGGATATTAATAATTATAACTGTGAATGGGATATTAATAATTATAACTGTGAATGGGATATTAATAATTATAACTGGGCAGCAAAAAGCTAGAGGAAATTAGGTTGTTGTTAGTGATGCTAAGTTTATCAATACAGACCTATGTCTACTGAATTCTTTTTTGGCTTTGGCATCACATATTGAAAAGTCAGTTCTTGCTTTCGTTCAGCTCGACTCATTTTTAAAGCATCTTCTGCTTCTTCTACAGCTAGTTCCCATGCTTTCTTTCTAGCAGGCTGTATCAACATTAAAACATTAATCCACTGTTATATTTAAGTGTATTAAAACTATTTCCATTAGCAATTTCTTCATGTTCACCTGCTCAACAGCTTTTCCTATTATTTAAACTAATTATAATATTGCAAGAAAGACAAATAACTTTTTTCCAAATTAAAATTACATTATCAGTTTTAAGCAAACACAAACATATTCATACATGCATCATAAACTAATTAAGAAAATAAATTAGCAATAAGAAGCAGAACTACTCACCCTAATTGAACAGTGTATAATTTGACTGACATTTAAATATCAGTGTTTAGAGTCTTTATAAATGGGAAATTAAAATGAAACAAGCAACAATCACTGATAATTACTATCTACAAAGCTTGAGTACATTAAAATAAAATGATTTCAGAACCTTACTACTTCCTTAAAATCCATATTGCCATTTACAATCTAATATTTAGACTGAACTTAAAAATAATTACAACTTAAATTTTATAAAACATGAAAGTTTAAGAATTAAAGAAGAATTTTATCATTTTATTTGATTAATTTCCATTTAAGAAAAATTTATATTCTGGATTGATTTTAATTTTATCCCCAG